ATCTGGTTCTTTCACCTTTTCATCTATTTGCTAAAGAATAGGATTCTAGAGATGGGATTTCTAGTAAATGCATATGTAAGTTTGCTAATGTTGTTGTTGTTGTGAGGGGCCATTGAGTCATAGAGCACAAGTTCATAGCAACACTAAGTACAACAGAACGAAACACTGCCCGGCCCTGTGCCATCTCACAGTTGTTCGTATGTTTGCGCCCACTGTTGCAGCCTCAATGTCAGTCCACCTCCTTGAGGGGCTTCCTCTTCTTCACTGTCCCGCCACTTTACCACGCACGATGTCCTTCTCCAGGGACTGGTCTCTCCTGACCCCATGCCCAAAGTAAGTGAGATGAATTCTCACCATCCTTGCCTCTAAGGAGCATTCTGGCTGTAATTCTTTTTTTTTTTTTTCTGGCTGTAATTCTGAGACAGATCTGTTTGTTCTTTTGGCAGTCCATGGTACTTTCAATATTCTTCGCCAGCACCAAAGTTCAATTGCATTGATTTTTCTTCCATCGTCTTTATTCAATGTCCAACTTTCACATTTCAGTTCAAATGAGACGATTAAGAATACCATGGCTTGGTTCAGGCATACAGTACCTTAGCCCTCAAAGTAACTCCCTAGCCTTTCAACACTTTAAAGAGGTCTTGTGCAGCAGATTACCCAGTACAGTGCATTGTCTGATCTCTGCAGTACTTCCCTGGGGATTGATTGTGGCTCCAAGCAAGGTGGAATCCTTGACGACTTACTCTTTTCTCCTTTTCTCGTGATAATATCGCTGGTCCAGTTGTGAGGATTTGGGTCTACTCTACATTGAGTTGTGATCCCGAGGGAGGGCTGCAAGTCTTGATCTTCACCAGCAAGTGCTTCAAGCCCTCATTTTCAGCAAGCAAGGGGTGTCATTTGTATATCACAGGTTGCTTCACAAGCCATCCTTCAATCCTCATGCCTCATTCTTCATATAACCCTGCGTCTCTGATGATTTTCTCAGCACTGAATAAGTATGCTGAAAGGATAGAACCCTGACACACATCTTTCCTGATTTTTAAACCATGCAGTTCCTCATTCTGTTCACACAGCTGCCTTTTGATCCATGTACAATTTCTGCTTAAGATATCCTCAAGGGTTTTTTTTTTTTTTTTTTGGCTCTTGTGGACTTGTTTTAATTTGGGGGGCTTTGACCTTAACTTACATAAGCGCATTTGATGATCTGTCCCATAGTTGACTCCCGGCCTCGTTTTGTATGCTGATAATTAAGCTTCTCCGCTGTCTCTTCCCACAGATGTAGTCGATTTGATTTCTGTGTATTCTCTCTGGAGTCACCTTTTATGCTAATGGAATAAGGTATTTATGATGAAGAAGTCATGGGTCTTGCACAATTCTATCATGTGATCTCCAGCCTTGTTTCTGTCACCAGAAATGTATTTCCCAACTATGGTTCCTTCCGCTTGGTTTCCAACTTCCGCATTCTAATCACCAATACTTATCAATGTGTCTTGATTATATTTGTTCAATTTCCAACTGAAGGTGTTGGTAGGATTCTTCAGTTTCTTCATCACTAGCTTTAGCATTTGGTGTATACATTTGAATAGTAGTTGTATTGTTTCAATTTCCTTGTATATGAACAGGCATCATCCTATCACAGACAGCATTGGACTTTTAAGAAAGAGCTTGCGATGTCCTTTTTAACGATGGAGGCAGTGCTGTTCCTCTTGATTGGGTCATTCAGGCATAACGAACCCTATGATTGTCTCATTCCAAATGGCCAGTACTAGTCCATTTCAACGTACTAACTAGAATATTGATCTTTATACCTTCCATTTCATTCTTAATAACTTCCAAGTTTTCTAGATTCATACTTCTTACATTCCAAGTTCTAGGTATTAATTGATGTTTGCAGCTGTTTTGCTCTAAGTTTGACTCATGCCCATCGGTAAATGGAGGTCCCAAAGGCTTCACTCCTGTGGGCTTCACTCCATCCACATCATCATGGTCCACTGTCCTTGGTTGGTTTGGGTTGGTTTCGGTCACTTGTACTTTGAGAAGGTGGCTCTCTCTCAGTCAGAACTTGGGGACCTTCAGATCTGAAGGGCTCATCTTCGGGCAGTATGCTGCTTCTACTCACTAGGTGTTCAGGAACTGATAGTGTTCTGATGCCATCCATAAGGTTGTCAGTGGCTACTTCTTTGGAAGTGGATAGCCCATTCCTTCGTCAGTCTGTTTTTAGTCCAAACGCTCTGCTGAAACTTGTTCACTTTGGTATTTGAAATACCTATGACGTAACCTTCAGCATCACAACACACAGGCTACCATAGTAGGACAAACTGACAGTATTGGAGCTTGCTAATAAGTATGTCAAATTGTGTTCCCTAAGAGTTGTACTGTTTATGTCCACACCAAAAATGCATGAGAATGTTTCCCCAAAGTTGCAACAATAGGTTGCTAGACTTAAAATTCTTTTTTGCCAATCTGATAGATGAAAAATGGTATATTAATGTAGCTTTAATTACATTTCTTTCATGGCTGAGAATGGACCTTTTTGTTTGTTTTTTTCTTTTTAAATCATTTTATTGGGGGCTCATACAACTCTTATCACAATCCATACATACATCAGTTGTATAAAGCACATCTGTACATTCGTTACCCTCATCATTCTCAAAACATTTGCTCTCCACTTAAGCCCCTGGCATCAGCTCCTCATTTTCCCTCCACCCTCCCC